TATGTTTCTATTAAAAGATTTGATTGTTTTGTCAGTTTCATTGTTAAAATTGATCAATTAAAAATCATAAAGAATCTATATTAAGTCGGTACTTCTATCATTTTTCTAACGTAACGTTTCGAAAACATACATTCAAGTTATATGTGATTAATTGCCACGTTAATTATCGTACACCAAACCTGATGAAAAAAAAAAACAGTTGGCATCATTAAATAAATATATTTTATATGTAGTAGGTACCTGAGTTAAAAAAAAGAAGAAAACTTCTCACACCGATTGTAACAAAAATTTGTTCATTTTGGGAACATTGCAACTGCTAAAATCAATTAATGTTTTTATACAAATTTTTCTCATACAAAATAAACTATTATATACGTTCTACCTGTAGGTAATACGATTAAATTAGAATTATCAATTACGTTACACATAATTATTATACCTACCAAATGTAATAAAAACCTTTGCAGAAAATACAAATATTTGTTCCAAGCGGAAATCGAAGCCCCACATTCCATGCAGTTACTGCGCCGATATAGTGCCAATATTACACATACCCCGCTTATCGTCGACATGTGAGCAATTCTGTAATGTACCTATCAGAGAGTGCGTGTAACCACATAGTTCACACGCTATACATGTCCAGTTGTCCAGTATAGTACCTATCTACATGTATCCAATACATAATTCGATAAATAATGTAATGTATTATTCTATTTATGTCGAAGTAGCGACAATTCCTTAAATTTTGAGATATCCCAACGACATCCATGTCAGTGCCGACAAAACAGTGGCTTATTCTTGAATCCAATTCCGATCGATCGACATTGGTATTGTGAAATTTCGTACTCTTCAGTTTCAACACTAGCGCCCATTGCATCCGTATTGCATGGATATGGATATGAACTAAATGGTATTGAATTTGGTTCTATAATCCGTACTCTGAATGCTATTTGAACAGCTATGATAGGGGTTGTATAGTTTTGATATTGAATAATTATTGAGATTTTAATGGATTGACATTGCATTGACATTGAGATTAACATTGACATTGAGACTTCAATCTCACTAAATTCTACTTCAATATTATATTTTATTTTGTCTAGTTTTAGGCTTTTACGTGTGAATGGCTATATCAATTTCGTTAACTTTCCTGAGTTCATTATGGTCGAAGTTTCTTATGATACAAAAAGTGACAATTAACATACGGACAGAGCCGACGGCACAGCTAATATTTATGCAGTGCAATCTCCTTGCACACGTGTTATTATTACGATAACAATGCACATTGTTGCATTTATCCTGTTGGATAAATATATTTATAGTATTATTTATTCTTCATTCATTCATTTATTTATACTACGCACATACTTCATCATCGACAGCCTTTAAATGCCTACTGCTGAGCAAAGCCTCTTCTCACACGGCGAAAGTTTGAGCATTGATCACCACGCTTGCTCAATGCAGGTTGGTGATTACAAACTTATAATTAGAAATTATAAGCTCAGGTTTCCTCACGATGTTTTCCTTCACCGTTTGTCAGTAGTGTCTAAATAATCTTAGAAAGTACACATGACTCGGAAAAAGTCACATTGGTACTTGCTGTTGCTAGGTTTCGAACCGGCACCCTCATGCACGAGAAGCGGGCGTCTTAAACTTCAGGGCCTCCACGACATACTTATGGAGATATTATTAGGGTACGAGCTGAATTCCAAACATTACTAGAGACACATATATGTATATATAGTGTTGTTTTTTTCATTTGTAAAGTCAAATAGTGAAAAGTAGGTGTTTTCATTGTACTGTGGCATTAAGTGCCGCAATGTGCACCTACCCAAAGTCAAAGCATTTATTTCAATTAAACCATAATTTAAATATCTTATATTGGTACATGGTGCTCAAATTCGCATATCGACAATCCATATAAAACAGCGCTACTACACAAGAAAAAAGAAACTCTTTGATGAATCAAAGAGTTTATAAAGAAAGAAATGCGATGCCATAAGTAAATTAGATTGTCCACATTACAATGTATTTACGAAAATCTCGGGTTTGAGTTTTTTGTTAAGTCAGGGTTGTATTACAGTACAATTCTCAGTCTTTCATCTATATAAAAATCAAACTCTTTAACTTTAACTATCCAATCTTGCTTACAATAAAAGGACTGGACTGAACGTACTGCTAAGGAATGAAATTCTTTGCTAGAATCTGTGTTTCCTAAAGGGTAAGCAGAGTGTCTTTAAGGCCCGAGTGAATAGGATGCTAATGGGCAGACGTGCTCCATTTTCGGCCACATCATCGCTTACCACCAACTCTACTTATCTACTTAACGTCTACTTATCCAGTATATATAAAAATATATATATTTAATTATATATATAAAAAATATTGTATCTTTTATATTGATGATAATTCCTAAACTATAGTGTCTTTTACATAGTATTGTCCCGATTTTATCACTACTGCCAGCTACTGTTATATAATTAATATATTTATATCCTATATATTGACTGCCTCGTTGGCCGAGTGGTCGTAAGTGCGACTGCCGGGCAAGGGGTCTCGGGTTCGATTCCCGGGTCGGGCAAAGTATTACTGGGTTTTTAAATATTCTCAGTAGTAGCACGGAATCTGAAACTGTGCCCGGTATATGGCAATAGGCTCACTCCCTATTACATGGGACTCATAACATAAATAGTGAAAAGTGGGTGTTATATTGTACAGAGGTATAATGTGCACCTCTGCCTACCCCAGAGATAAAAGGCGTGATGTTATGTTATATTAGGTCACGTATTACGAATTCATTCATGAAATTATTACGTCCTTCCTTTATGCAGTTGGAAGTAAAAATTAGTTATTACTTACTTTAATTTTATTAGGTCATTGAATGAGTGATTTAACTGTTCATTCTCGGTAAATTGGTTACTCATCGCATCTAAAAAAAACCGTGTAAGTATTAATTTATAGAGGAAAAACCATAATAAATACATCGCGTTATATTATGTGTTTTTAGGACATAACATAACATAACATAACATAACATAACATAACATAACATAACATAACATAACATAACATAACATAACATAACATAACATAACATAACATAACATAACATAACATAACATAACATAACATAACATAACATAACATAACATAACATAACATAACATAACATAACATAACATAACATAACATAACATAACATAACATAACATAACATAACATACGCAACCCGTTTTAATCTTCAAAGGGGTAAATATTGATTGAGATGTGGTTTTTTTTAATCACTAAATGAGGAAATGTTGTCATCCAAATTAATTTTTTTAGAGATTTTCGCTGAAGGTTACGATTTCTGTAAGAAGAAACGTCAGCGAAAATCTAGAATGAAATAAATATAGAATCTAAAGATTTCTCTTAATCCAACTTCGAAAAACGGCTTATCTATTTTTCTCAAACAAATATTTGACTGTCTTTGTAGTACCTTAATAAATAATTTATTAAAACTGTCAATGATAATACAACATAAGCTATATTTTCTTTCGAATAGAAAGGTCAAAAAGACCAACAATATATATTAATAGCTAATCATATAATTAAACAAAATACCTACATTATTATTATGATGATAGATAATAGACTGGGCAATGATAATAATTGATCCCCCGCCGGTATGACGTGGGTGACACGTCATGTGCGCGTGCGCCGGACTAATTAATTGTATGAACTAGTAGCGCACGTGATTCTGTTTGTTTTGAGTTTTAATAATGGAACAAGTTATTATCTCCATCATAGACCGCATCATCGCTTACCACCAGGCGTGATAATGGTCAAACGTCGCCCCAGCAAATATTTAAAAAAAAAGTTATTAGGGGTGTAGCTCTTAGCAGACGTATTGTTATAGTACGTTCATTAATTGTTAACTTTATAATTCAAAATCACTAACTTTAGTCTACTAGTCCGCTTCTGAACTATGAGTATAGAACTAACAAAGTCTATAATAAACTGAAAGGACATTGCGGTTTTTTTACGTTTTATTCGGACAAAACAACATTTTAAGTAGAATGTTGTTTTCTTAATAAATTGTAATAAATTGAACGTTAAACACCTTAATGCTCAGCGTTAGGTAACTCACGTGTTCATTTAACTAACGTGACATCATTCAGTGACAAACAAACAAACACGTTGCAAAACATAACATAGAATTATAAGATAAGGAAATACTACACAATAAAAATATTCTGGTCAAAAATATCTACTACACTACATCTTTGGAAGCGGTTTGGCTCGCGCGGCATTTCAAATAATTCTTTAGTAACTTGTATAAAAAGTACATTTATATATACCTCTATACTAGCGACCCGCCCCGGCTTCGCACGGGTGCATTAATAAGGGGAACGGGAGAAAATGGGATTGCGTATTCGAAGCTAGTTATATATAATTATTTAAATATAAACTATGTTTAAATAAACCAACTTCAAACCCCTTCTTTTTCAAAGGCGGGTAATTAATATACTAAAGCCTTCTCCTAAATGTAACAAACACTTTTCTGAAAACTAAATTAAAATCGGTTCAGAAAATCGTGAGATAATTGCATACATACATACATAAAGGTCAAATTAATAACATCTTTGATTTTAAAGTTGGTTAATGAATAAAATAAAAACTTACAGTTACAATACTTATGTAAAAATCCATGCCAAATAGGACCAACTCCTTTAAGTTTTTTTCCCAATTAAAATTATAACTCCCTGAAAACCAAAATTTTCCAATAGAGAATTAATTTTGTTTGTCCCCTCGTTTAGGCACCTATTCAATGCAAGCAGACAAATAATCAAATCTTTATATTATGTAGGACCTATCGATAAGTTCCTACTCACGCACATAGTACATAATTATATGAGAAATGATAACCTTTATCTACTACTTCTAATAGAGTTGTCCGTATTTATTTTTTCAGTGCGTTTCATCAACTGATGGACGATAGAACTTGAAGAATATAAGCTATGATATATTATTTGGTGTTGTACTGTATTTCCGTGTGCGTTGGAGCTATGCCTACCGTGGTAAATTATGGTGAGATTCTGTTTTTTTTTTATTTGTTTATTTTTTTAATGCTAATTTTAATGATGAAAGTTTGAAGTGTTTTCAGTAGTTGTTTTTTAATCGATATTTGTAACAGAGTTTCTAAAACAATAACTCTATTTCGATTAAATATGTTAATATTTCTATTAAATAAATTAATTGATTACATTTATAACGTGTCTGTCTATTAATATTCATTCATTCAATTGACGTGATTACAAAAATATATTATTATAAATTTTTGAACATACAAAATGATACGTGCACTTTTCTATCTATGAAAAATAATTTTATCAATATTAAAGTTTTTTAACACATAAAAAATACAAATTACAGTGGAATCAAATGAGAATGAAGTCCATTCATACAACTTTCCATTTGTGAGCCGTGCACAATGGCGGGCGCGGGACCCAGTGAAGACGAATCCATTGAACACGCCAGTCCCATACGTGGTGATCCATCACTCCTACATTCCACCAGCGTGTTACGACCGGGAGAAGTGCTGCGCAGCCATGAGAGGCATGCAGAACTTCCATATCGATGACCACGGCTGGTGGGATATTGGATACCAGTAAGTATTTTACACTTTTTTTATATTTGATGGGCCGACGTTTGATTTCTTACCTGGTGGTAAGCGATGATGTCTACAATGGAGCACGTAAATCCATCCCATAAGCAACCTATTCACTCGGGCCTTGAAGACATCCAGGTTATACGCTTCAGGAAATACAGACTCTTGCAAAAAATTTCCACTCCTTAGCAGTACACACAAGGAAGCTTGATGCGTAGCGCTTTTCTTAACCTTAAGCATTTTTATAATTGGAGCTACCTTGAGTACCTTAGATTAGGCAGCTTTACACAATACCAGAGGTTATGGAGCTATTGTGGAGTTTTTTACTCGTTCTAACACGAATCTACATTTTAAAATAAAACGACCACCTAGTTAGACTAACTAACGGCTAATTCAATATTGACGTTTTAAAAGTGTCTGAATATGGATAAATTTTAACGCATTGACTTATTGTTTACTCAATTTAGATGCCTATTATTAAATATATTATTATAATATGTATAACTACATAAATATTTACAACTTAAAATTAACTAGGTACAATTAAACTATTAAATAAAACGAAAGTAAAAAACGGAAACAACAAAAATTATACCCTTAATTTAGGCGTCAAAATATTTGTCCGCATCACTATCGGGCAACGTTTCCAGAAGACTGGCAGCATTTTTTGGCACTTTGACTTTAGTTTTAACTTTTTAATAGTTGAAGGCCATAGGGTAACCTCCCTCCGACAAACACGGCGAAATACACAGAAAGCGTTGTCACGCTAAGAGGCCGTAGTCTTCATATTGTACAAATTATTCTCCAGGGGGCCTAAAAAAGTAACATTGGGTGAACCATTTCTAATCTAAGGTAAGCGGAGTTTTTTTGTTTGTTTGTTTGAATGCGCTAATCTCCGTAACAACAAGTCTGATTTGAATAACTCTTTTTGTGTTGGATAGCGCATTTATCGAGGATGGCTATAGGCTATAAAACATCACGCTTCGACCAATAGGAGCTGAGCAGAGCGTGTGAAACCGCGCGGAAGTAGGTAGTTTCTAATACGATTAATTTCATAAAATGTAGGAAAATCACCTAAATCACCATAAAATGGTAACAATAAAATATGAAACATCTGCAATTCATAGGTCAATATACATATTGTTAAAGAAAAATATTCCAAGCTATCAATAGTAATATTCTTTTTATCGAAATTTCTTCATACTGTACAATGTACATAGTTAACAGTAGTAAGTTATCTTGTTTATAGAAGTAAAGTCAACGGTATTATTGATAAATGTTTATGACCTACGTCATTTTATCTAATAAATTATTCTACGATTTATAATAGGTAGTACAAATATAATAGAACGTAGGTTGGCACCTAGACTACTTTTGACAATGTAATATAAATTGTACAGGAAATTATATACTTTCCATATTACATACAACTTATGACCTAACTGGTACGACTACCTGATACCACCGCCACCACATCGGGGTTTAAAAAGCATAATATAAAATCACGCCTTTTATCCCCGAAGGCGTAGGCAGAGGTGCTCATTACGGCACTTAATGCCACTGTACACACTTTTGTGTATTTATGTTATGAGTCCCATGTAATTAATAGACTCCTTCTATTGCCTTATAACAAAAAGGTATGATGATATTATATTTATGAAACTACGTGCGTATTTTGTCACGGGGATTCCTGTAGGTATTTCTTACCTGTTAGGTACCATGTTACTTTGTTATTAAAACACTTTTTCCCCTACAGTTTTGCTGTCGGTAGCGATGGTGCGGCATACGAGGGGCGGGGCTGGGAGACACTGGGTGCGCACGCGTTACACTTCAACTCAGTCAGCATTGGCATCTGTCTCATTGGAGATTGGAGATGTAAGTGAATAATTTGTTCTAATTCTAATATTGCTAGTCTAACGCTGAAATACTCAAATGCTACTCAATTTTAAGATAAAAATAAAGATAAACATAGTTCATTTGCAAATATGGTTAATTAATTAATTAAGTCGCGCTTAAGTATAGTTCTGTCTCTACATTTTTTTTTGTAAAATGACATAGATAGCACGATGTTTATGTACAACTTCAAATTGACTATATAATTGAAGTTATACTTGAGGCTAGAATTATGTCTGAATAACGGCTTCTAACTGGACTAAACACTTTAAAACCTAGTTATGTACTATATAAAAATAAGTCGGGTTTTCCTTCCTCACGGTATAACTCAAGAACGCACGAACCGATTTCCACGGCTTTGCATTCGTTGGAAAGGTCTCGGGCTCCGTGAGGTTTATAAAATACTAGCGACAAGCCCCGGTATTAAAGATCTTAGCATACATAGGGACAGACAGACGGAGAATAGCGACTTTTTTTATACTATGTAGTGATAAAACAAAAAAAAATGTCTTTATCTTTTAATCACCAAACGAAATGTTACATAAAATGAAGCCATCTGGTGGCGAAACGGAGTTCGCCGGGTTTGCTAGTATGACATAAAAAATGACTAACGGATTTTGCTTTCGAATCGCCCAGAAGTAAAGAAATAATCTTCTTCTTTATCTTGAAATCGATCTTAAGAGAGGAGTGTTTTAAAATATATCTTAAAATCGATCTTTGGATTCTTCTTGTCGAGTGTAGCTTAACCTTAAATCAAGTACACAATCCTCAAATTCCCAATTCCCAAAAGGCTGGTAACGCCTTAGTGTTTTGGGTGTCCATAGGCGGCGCCTATTGCTTACCATCAGGTGATCGGTCTGCTCGTTTACCGGCTTATGCTATAAAAAAAGTCGCATGTCTTCAGTGTTACTTAAAATCTTACGCACCAATTTGTAGATATCATGCTTTATAATCTACCTCCAAAACTAACCATAAAACTCTTGACCATTTCAGACGAGGTACCACCAGCGCAGCAAAGAAAGACTGCCATGGCATTAATAGCAGCTGGAGTGGAACTTGGCTACATCAAATCAGACTACAAACTCCTTGGTCATCGCCAAGTTAGAGCCACAGAGTGCCCAGGTGACGCTCTCTTCAATGAGATTAAGACTTGGGATCACTTCTCACCGTACCCGAGTTCTCATTTGGATCTCCTTGATATCAAAGAGATCCCGGAGTGGGTAAAAGATACTATTAGGGGAAAGAACGCCACGATGCATGATATTCCTTCGTAGGGATCTTTTTAATATTCTGTTAATGTTGTAGGTAAAATTGTAGTACCATTATGTGCCGATTCATTTGGTCTTTACTTAGGCAAAGGATCATAGGGACTCCATAGAGAAAGGCATTGTAGAAATGTAAATAATAATTACTGTCGTACTCAGATATATTTAATGAGTAGGTACTGAAACTTCCTTAGTAACGATTTTGTTCTGAACTTAACTTTAGGTTAATTAGCCATTAAATTACTCTCAGTACAGCAGTTAGATAAACTTATATCGAAATACTCAAATGCTACTCGATTTTAAAACGTGCTTAGGTATACTTCTGTCCCTTTTTTTTGAGAAAGCAGAATCATCTAATGTCTTCTCCCGCCCGGTTGAGACGAGAGGGAGTATCAGACTTCTACTGACTAAAAACCACCCCGTTCCTACTCCTGCTCTTCGAGCCGGAGCCCCGGCAACCCGTTAAGTCTTCCGCGGCTCCGTATCGGATACTTCTGTCCCTACTAATTCTTTGTTAAATGACAGAGAAGGCACGATATTTAAGTACAACTACAAATTGAATAGCATTTCTGTATTAGGGTGTCAGAATAGTAAGAAAATGGTATAAAAATAGTAGGATTTGTTAGTTATTCATTTGTTTACGTTGTATACCTACTGAGATTACATAGAACTTAGAAGTGATATTCTGTACACATACTTAGAATTGTATATATATTTAAACTTAGTCCTAAATAAAGGACCGATATTCAGCAGTCGAAAGACATTGCCTATATAAATCCAACCATCAGCCGTTCGTTATTGAGTTTCTAGAACTGTGAAATGTCTTATAATTACACTGGCAACCCGCTCCGGCTTGCACGGGTGCAATATGTATGTATTACACATATAAACCTTCCTTAAGAATCACTCTATCTATTAAAAAAACGCATCAAAATCGGTCGCGTTGTTTTAAAGATTGAAGCATACATAGGGACAGACAGAAGGCGGATAGCGACTTTGTTTTATACTATGTAGTGATTTACGTAATTTTCTGCCAACATAGGATCTGTTCATGCATCGCCTTAGTTTTTGGCAGTAAAATCAAATTAATAATATTTTTAAAAAGCACTAAATTTATGTACAAATTGTTATAATTAAGCCTCTTTTCGTGATCTTTGGCGTAGTAAAATTATGAAACTATTTTTATAGTTAGTAGTTATACGTTAATGTTTTTTTAAATATTGTAATTTTAACTAGTTATAGATAAGTTCGAACTACTTTCTACCTCGTTATTAAATTGGGAACTAACACAGAGATATGTTTCCGAAAATACAACATGGCAACAGTAGAATATTATACCATAGAATATACAATATATAAGTTCCTAGTTTGTTCTGTGAAATTGATAACCGACTGTATATTATTTTTTTATGGCATAAACCAGTAAGCATTCGGCGCCGCCCATGGACATTGGACACTCGAAACACCAGAAGTGCTATAAATGCGTTACTGGTCTTTTAGGGATTAGGAATATGACGATTATTGAGGGTTTGAGGATTAGGGAGGGGGATAATTGTATCTCCGGTAACCTCACTCACACGGCGTAACAGAACGCAAGTGTTGTTTCACGTCGGTTTTCTGTGAGCCCGTGGTATCACTCCAGTCGGTCCATTCGTGTCGAAGCATGGCTCTCCCACACTTAATTATATTGTATTTTTCTGTAACTATCTTATAACTTCGTAAAGTAAATAAGAAGCTTTGATATTATAAATATAACAATTAGTTTTAAGTACAAATCTATATCTTTATCTATATTTGCTTAATACAATTATGGCTGTGATTAAATTGTAAATGTAAATATTTCATGTTAATCTTATTCATGTTCTATAATTATAGTACCTACCTATATTTCTATCTTATGATTGTATAATTATTTTTAGGGTACCTACATCTATTATTAAGAAAATAAATTATTTATAAACGTAAAAATGTTTTCATTAATTTTACTTTCTTATCATTCATTATTAGGTCATTGTTTTAACTTTGCGAGATAAAGATCTCCATACGAGGTACCTACAATATAATAATTGAAATCTATCAGTCGTATACGCGAGGCAAAACGTATTTTCTATTGTGTCTCATACGGCATATAACAGGTTAATAAATGGTGTAAATTTACTAAGAACCCTGACCTGCGGACGATCTTGCTGGTTACCGAGGCTCTGGTTTGAAGCAGAAGTAGGAACGGCGTGGTTTTTAGTCAGTAAGATGACACTCCCTCTCGTCTCACCCAAGACATATTATTCATTGGCCGAGTGGTCGCAAGTGCGACTGCTAGTATATATCCACTACTACTATCGACTGCTTTTTTTTTAAGGGGGGAAAATCATCGAATGACTGCTCCCGCCTGGGTGAGGCAGGAGGGAGTGTCAGACTCTTACTGACTAAAAACTACCCCGTTCCTTCTCCTGCACGTCGAGCCGGAGCCCCGGTTACCCGTTAGGTTCTCCGCGACTCCACTATCGACTGCTAGTAGATAAAGTAGTACTGGGTTTAAAAAAAAATCTCAGTAGTAGCACGGAGTCTGGAATTGTGCCCGGTATATGGCAATAGGCTCACCCCCTATTACATGGGACTAATAACATAAATAGCCAAAAGTGGGTGTTACATTGTACCGTAGTATTAAGTGCCGTAACGTGCACCTCTGCCTACCCCTTCGGGGATAAAAGGTATGATGTTATGTTATATTAAAAAAGGTTAGGTTACTAGCAACAACTGATTGAGGATTATTTACCACATAGACTTATTTATTTGAACTCCCATTATAATCATCACGCGGATTTTGCTGACAATATTTTTTTGTTTTTGAAAGTTTTTATTAACAAAGGTATGTCATAGTTAAACAAAGAAGACAAAAGTATCACGCTGTGGAAATCCCCCAAGGTATATAACACTTACTTTTTTTTATTATTTTTTTTACACAACGTTGCCCTACATTAGGATTTTCTTCTGTGTCGTGGGTGCTTTTAACAAACATACAAGTTCACATACACATTGACACCCAACCCAAACCCGAAACAACAATTTGTGGATCACACAAAGTGTTGTTCCGTCCAGGAATCGAACCCGTTACACGTTGCGTGGCAGCCAGTTGCTCAGCTATCGCACTAAACGTGCAGTCAACCTGTTTAATGTATCCCATGTATATAAGAGTATTCCCCAATAAAGGTACCCAGAAATGAAAACTTGGTTTTTGTTTATCAATTGGGACTAATCTCAGCTACTGCAGCTTACTATTACACCGAATTGTAATTGAATATTCTCGTATCCAATAGCTTTTCAGGAAATACACGTAACTAAAACCGAGTGGGACCACTAGAGTTTTAGAACAAGCGCAATTAAACAAATAAAAAATCATGGAAACATTAATAAACCATTCAAAATTTAAGCAAAATTTTTCACGGAACGAATTACATAGCCATTGTCAATTTAAAACAAAATGGCTTCTCTATTTAAACACAAATTAGACGCCAATTTCCCGCGTAAACTCACATCGCGTGATTGCAGAAACCGCTAAAAGTGTTACAAAAATGTCATATTATTACCATATTTTTTTATTTACCATTTTAAAACTAACTTATGGACAAGAAACCCCATATACTCTTGTGTCGAGGGTAGGTTGGCGAGCAAGACTGGCAACACAAACTCAACCATTAAAACTTCCAGTTCAAATAGTTGTTGTACACAACACTGCTACGAGTCCGTGTCTGGATCAAGAATCATGTTCTTCTATGATGCGGAAGATTCAGAAGCACCACATGGATTTTAAGGGGTGGTGGGATATTGGATATAGGTAACTATATACCCAATAAACACTAGGACTACGACTGCGAACGTACAATTTCACTTACAAACCTATAGCATCCAGACCTAGAACAACAATTTGTGGTTATTAGTAAATAATTATGGATTATTCTCAATAATAACCCAGTGATGTTTGTTTGTTTTATAAAATTCTTTATTAAACTGTCAAACACCGCGAGGACACCGGTGACCGCAGCCTATTGTTCTTTAATTGTGTCTATAATGACGGTACTCAAAGGGTTAAAATAAGTAGGTATACATAAATTGAAAAACTTATTATACTAAGTCACAATTCCGTCTTCATATAACAACACTTTTACAGGCTGTGTAAGCCTTTTTAAGTATTTTAAAAACTTAATAATGTTATACATATGAAATCATTTAATGATTCCATTATTATAGACCTAGTGATGTGATCTCAGCAGAGTAGAATACATTTGTCACCACCCCTACTTATTTATTTATTGATTTTTCTTGTATTTAAATTGGCATTTTTTTACCAAAACCGAAATTGTTGAATATCTCAGAAACTAGCCACTTTCGGACCAGAGACCTCAGGGCTATTTTTGTAGGAAATTAGATATATTATCTCACCCCGAGAGGAATAAGTCGAGTTACAAGTCACCCTGTATATATAATGGCTATAGGTAGTCTAGAAGTGACTTTCATTGATGACATAAATAAATGAATGTGCATATAAGCAATTTGCCATTTCAGTTTTTGTATCGGAGGCCAAGGGGACGTGTACGAGGGTCGTGGCTGGAAGTATATGGGAGCCCATGCTCTGCGCTTCAACGAATACAGCGTAGGAATTGCTTTGATTGGCAGTTGGACTGGTGAGTACTCGTGCAACATTAGGAAAAGATTTCACAGTTGTCCTAGGTTAAGGACACAGATCCACTCTATGTCCTAGGTTATCTACAGAAGCTGCAATAATTTAAGTAGATATATTTAGTTTTGGTTAGATATCATGACAGGTATGGAAAATAATACTATTTTTCTTCGTAATGATGACACCATAAGATGATTTTGATGTTTCTTGGAACTTCGCGTACATAAATAGTAGAAATTATTGTCAAATTGTCTGTAAACCAGTAGAATCATGGTCAAATCATAGAATTTTCCCACACGCATTACATCTGAACTCAGTCACGATTATCGGTGCCTTTAATTCCACTATGTTTCATCGTACGCGTTCACTGAAAACAAATTAATTATAATACCTTTTTTCCCATTATCCACAATAGTTCTACACTAACCGAGGACTGTCCTTGGGTGCATTTCCCTAGTGCATACAGGGATAGTCGCCGGTTTGTGTGTCCATTACATTTAGATTAAAGTTGTCTAAAGGGCCTTTGCGTAGTTGGCTTCGGCCAAATGATCGACCGTGATGTGAAATGACCGGATCCATGTGGTCCCGTGAATGGTAAAGAAACACATAATAGAGGTAGTAATATGACAATATGAATTTATATGACAGTTATTTAGAACTACTACAACTATCTTTTTTTTATTTATAATTTTTATGCCTATGACAGTATTTAGGCCCTATAGAAATGTCTTATAATACGTGCAAATTTGTTATCTACAATAAGTATTTATTTCTCTTTTCTCAGTCGAGCTACCTACTAAAGAACAATTGGATACTTTGAAGATTATAATAGATCATGGCGTGCAACAGGGTCATATAGACCCAGATTATCTGCTAGTTGGACATCGGGATATTAGAGACACACACTGTCCAGGAGATACTCTGCAAGCCGAGATATCTCAATGGCCACATTACTACCTGAACTATAATGGGACAATACAATTATGATGGTCTAAGTAATTTTTTACACGTTAAACGCCAAAGGGACCACGTAAGACGATTTGCCTTCAACAGTTTTTATTGGCAATCGAACGCTGAAAATTGTTTTTGTATTAAAATGTTGATTTGCCCTATTTTAATAAAATACAGAGAAACGGCCTGGATGTCGGATAGAGACCTTTTTTTTGTTGACGGGGGGAAACCTTTTATAGGCGCCTAGCTTGTTGGATAGAGACATAGACGGTTACGTACCTACTTTAGTTTAGCCGTGCATTAACTTCTCTACAGCTACATCTTTATCAACAGCCTATAACAGTCCATTGCTGGTCTATGGGTGACCTCTGTACTTTCATAACATTAGAGTCAAAGAAGAAAGGTAAATTCTTTTTTACTCCACCCAGCATACGAATCAGGGGAATTGAATGACAATTGAAGTGATGGGTGCGTGTTACTCAATTAGGTTTAATACATTAGATGAGGTAGTTACTTAGCAAAAAACAATATGAAACATTTTTTTGAATTTCATAACATTTTCTATATTGCTTGAAATTCACAAACAAATCTATTGTAGGTATAATCATGATAAAACCCTAGACATCCTGAATTAATTAGGGTCAAAATCTACGTTAGACCGGTCGAAAATTAGTGATAAGTGACTTTATCAATAAGTTTAAAAACAAATAATCGTAGGGCCAACATTAAGACTGTTGTGCCATGATATTACATGATAAGATTAATTTCACATTCTGTAAACAAATAAATAATATTTTTGAGATTATTATTATCAGACATTTGAAATCGAATTAGAGTAAATTGTTGAATCACGAACGATTTATAATGCAATCGTTTGTTAGATTTTAGTGCGACAAGTAATCGTTTGTAAGGCAATGAACTTTCCGTCAGAGTAGGTAGTGGTCATCGGCACAGCTCATAAACTTTATCTTGGATTTTTAATAATCCTTCGTCTAGGAATGTTAAGTCGGTTATCGCTTGCCATCACGTTTATTATTGTAAGCCGAAATAATCTCGCGGTCAAAAACTATACCTAACATCCTTGCAGACATAGGGATTTTTGAAAAAGCCCTTTCTAGAAGTTGACTGAAGTTACAAATGCGTCATATTATTTCACATGGTAGAGCTACGCTTCGACACGACTCGTGTTAAACCTCGACCTTTAACAAGGAACTGGTATAAGACATTGACAAAGACTGGTAACGCACTTGAAACTCCAATGGTCTTGCAAGTGTCTAAGGGTAACTTACCATTATCAAGTTAACCGTTTACTCGACTTCCCACTATTCCATAAAAATCTTCCAGTACTTTTTTCTTAATCTCCTGTAAGACCATCCCATGATGCTGTTGAGTCAAGTCAGTTGGACAAGAGTCTCTGCACAATCCTTTTATTTAAGGGGAGGGAAATCATCCAAAGACTTCTCCCGAGGGATTGTCAGACTCTTACTGACTAAAAACCATCCTGTTCCTACTCCTCTGCTTCGCAGAAAGAGGAGACGGCATCCCAGTCCCCGTACCATGGCCAGAGCCGGACGCGAGAGATCGCCGTCGCCGATCACATCCCTGAGGACACGACGGTGCTCAGCCCACGCAGGAGACACCGCCACCGTATGCTCCACCGTGTCCTCCGGGCGATCCTCGCAGTGATGATACCCGGGCGTTTCCTCCGGCCCAATCCGAAACAGGAACCTACCGAAACTTCCATATCCGGTAAGCACCTGCGTCAGGCGGTAGGTGAGGATGCCGTGTGTCTCTCAAGCCACTGCTCAAAGAGGGTACTTATCGCTGCAATGACAGCGAGCCCAGCCCTTTGGTTGCGACAGTCGTTGCTGCCCTTCCGCCATGAGACCGCGGAGTGTCAGACTTATGAATAAAAATCACCCCGTTTTTTACTCTTGCTTTCAACCGGAGTCCCCATATCCCTTCAAGTTGTCCGCAGCTTCGGGCGCTGCGCAACCCTACGGAGCCTTTGGTTCAATGATGAACATCTTTTACCTGATAATGATATATGTAAAAATAGGAACTGACCACTGCCCAGGGACTTTACCTCGAGCTTATATAATGACGCAAATACATAAGAAGTCGTGATAACAATAATATGATGAGGCGCATCCGGTCAAATCGGGCCGATAAACAAACCTTCTAGGTATTATTCAAGGCCTACCAAGGTCATATATTTTAAGTACTAATGGTATAATTTGATTGATAAGCTATCGATTACTTTAATCGACTATTTTTATAACGATTCCAAGTTATAAAAATACTTAATCAAAGATTCGTGTGAATGTTGTCTGCGTGATTACGCAGGTGTTATTATTGTGTGATTATATATAATTATCTCTGTCTCTAAATAATGAATTAGGTACGAATTTAAAAATACTTTTCCTGTAGGTACTTAGGTATTACATACTACATTTTGGAATGAGCACCTAGCTTCACCTAGCTTCAGACGGACTGACTGACAGACTATTATTTATTTTGTATTTGTTGACGTTTCAAAAGTACCAAATTATGGTTTAATTGAAATAAATGCTTTGACTTTGACTTTGACCCATTACGTACTTTTATATAGGACATTCTCTCTTCTCTGAATGAAATTAGCTAGCACGCCTTAAGAGAAATTATATAAAATGTACAAAATGTAATCCATCTCTTTATTATCATCATCATCAGCCCGTCTTCATCCATTGCTGGACATATGTCTCTCCAATGGCACGCCGCTGAGCTCGGTCTTCAGCTGAAGGACGAAGGACTACACTACATTTGCCTAGACGCGGTCTCCACTCTAGGACACATATACTTCGACAAATATAACCGGCCCAGTGCCACTTCAGCTTACTAATCCTTCGGGCTATGTCGACAACTTTGGTTCTCTGTCAGATGACTTTACATCTATGGAATCCATAGTACTTTAGATTCTTCCCAAGGAGCTTAAGCTTTACGATAGTCTTTATAGAGGTAAACACTTAAATTAATAAAAGCCGTTTTTCCTATTATGTAAATAAAAATAGTTCAAGATAAAGATAATCAAGAATTAGTTACCTAATTGATTGAAATCCTTACTTATATTATAAACCGGAAAGTGAGTTTGTTTGTTTGTTCCACTTTAACGCCGTAACTACTAAACCGATTGCTTTGAAATTTTGCAGACATAAAGTTACAAGTCCGGATTAAATAATAGGGTACTTTTTATCCCTGAAAAATTTGATATTCACGAGGGAAAACAAAAGTATGGGTATAGATGGCGCTGTGTGTATTGGTATATGTCACATTGGCTTTTTATCCTTTTGTGACGCGAGCGAAGCCGCGGGTAAAAGCTAGTTATAAATAACTCCATTTATAACATACAAATAATAACGCAGGATAGGTATTGTGACAAAATACTTTAAAATAGGTATAAAAACAGCGATACAGATCTTGAGCGCATATTATTTTTCGAATTAGACAAGATAATATCGATAAGTACCTATCTTAATGCCCGGACACCTAACCAAGTTTTAGTTAATAGGTACTTAATGATTTGGAAGGGTCAAACGACTGTGACTGATAAAATTCTATAAACTGATATAATTACTACTTATTAATACGATAATATAAGCCCTAATCTAATCTAGATTCCTAAATACCCTAATTAATTACACAAAGATTACCTACCACGATTTTTATATGTTTGAAAGCTCCAGGTGCTGCCATCTATTATTTTATTTATGTAACTTTGAGCATAAATATTTTTTTTAGGGTCCTATGAGTAGGCATAATTAATCGTAGTATTAAAATGTGCTTACTCACATAACTGTCTTAGAGAGCTCGATTAGTTTCAAGCCTAATCCGAGGCTCATAATCAAGAGCAACATGTACGCATCACATACAAGCATGGGCACTTGGGCACCACTAGTTTTATTAGTCTGTATCTGCGGTTACACGGCAAGAAGTCTCAAAATCAATGCTAGGAAAGGGCTTAATAATATACGAGATCTCATAAAAAGAGTAAAAAGGTAACTAAATCCTCAATATGACTGACTCATTTTATCTTACGTAAAGAATTGGTTGTTTACCAAAACGGTGGTAACTAATTGCAGCATTAGATGAACAGATATCACAATAATATATCACGTTTGAAGCTCATGTTCTACTATTGTACTATTGTTCGGAATAACGCGCATTGTTCGTTGAATATTACACAATATTATTATTCACATCTACAAGATTTGTTTATATTGAAAACATCATAATTATAACAACACACTGTTCAGATTAAATTGAAAACAACATAACGCCTTTTTCCTTAAAGATTTATATCCGCATAGTATCGCATTAGTTAGCATAGTTTTTGGAAGATTTATTTATATATAGTTACTAGCTGACCCGGCCACTTTCGTACGGCCTTGTACCTTTAAACTTACCCTTGAATTCTCCGCCCTGAGGACACGGTGGAACACACGGTAGCGGAATGCCCTGCGTGGGCTGAGCGCCGCCGTGCCCTCAGGGAAGTGATCGGCGATGGCAACCTCTCGCGTCCGGGCCTATTAGAGGTCATGATGCGGAGCGAGGGGGACTAGGATGCCGTCTCCTCCTTTTGTGAAGCAGTTATGCTAGCTAAGGAGGAGGCGGGACGCGTGCCTCAAAGAGCCATCAGACCACCACGGATGGGGCCCAACAGAGCTGATGCCGATTCGGAGTCGCGGAGAACCTAACGGGTTACCGGGGCTCCGGCTCGACGTGCAGGAGAAGGAACGAGGTGGTTTTTAGTCAGTAAGAGTCTGACACTCCCTCTCACCTCACCCTGGCGGGAACAGTCATTCGATGATTTTCCCCCCTTAAAAGAAACCCTTGAATTCTACAAGTCATTCAACACCAAAATAAATTTACCAAGTCAGTTCAGCCGTTCTCAAGTTCCAGCGAGACTAACGAACGAAATTTCATTTTGACATGTATAGATTGCCATTTATAATATTACGTGGTAAGTCTATTAGGTACCATACATCATGAACTGCTTTAGACTTAAGAATTTCTACTAAAAAAATCATATTTAATTAAATTTAGAATCATAATTAAAAAACCGAATTTCAATTATTATCTAGACCGGGCAATAGCGCTCAATATAATTTCAATATAATTTCTTATTATAAGTTTAAAGTCGCATTGAGCAACCGTGGTGATTATTGCTCAAACCTTCTCCATGTGAGACGAGCCCTTTGGTAGTTTGGTCAACAGTCAAGTGGCCACTTACAGGCTGCTGATGATGATGAAGCTTATATAGACATCCCGTATGACGTAGGTATGTATGTATGAAAGTCAAGATACATACACATATAGAAAATAACTGAAATCACGGGTTACTCACGTGAATATAGCGTGCTGCTTATGAGGAAGAACCTCTCTGTGGTTTGAAACTAGTAGAGCTTTTCTCAGTATATTCACATGAGTAACCCGCGATTTTAGTTGACTTAGTATGTCTCACTACAGTTATTATAAAAACATGTTGAAAATTGACAACAATCAATAGTTTCTATCAAATCATTAGCCCTTGATATCAAATAGATCTACTTTTACATTGCTGATGTTTATGACACACAGTATCAATCATCGCGTGACATCTGTTTGTATGAATAACGCCATAATCAGTATCGATTTACTGAGAATCATCAGTCATTGCTCATGATTACTTGTTTGTTACGCGCGCTATGTAAATACCCTAAGCTGATATTTGTTACCTATGTTTTCATTCTAAGTACCTATTTTTTTATCCACCATTGCTTAAACCATATTATCGCTTACCACCAAGCGAAATAGTGGCCAAACACAATCCTATTAAATATGTATGCCGCGGAGGACTTGACGTGTTACCGGGGCTCCGGCTCAAAATGCAAGAGTAGGAACGGGGTCGCACTTGCGACCACTCGGCCAATGAGGTAGACGAATGATCTTATATCTTGTTATCTTATTACTTACTCGTTTTAAACTATATTGGGACTAAACTGTTAAATAAAACAATGAATTAAAATGGAAACACAATTTAATGACAAAGATGACTTCACAAAAATAATCGTTTACTATAAATTGTTCTTAACTACGATTTAGTGATAAGGTAGACAAGTCATTTTATTTATTCATAGATAGAATACAATATATTTTTATTTATTACACATTTAGATCTTTAACTGGGAATGGTTATTTTACACTGATAGCTGACATTTATAGATTTTTATTTCTCTACTATTTTAAGATGGCCGAAGTTTGTTTATTAAAAAATGGTAATTGCACCATCGACAATGACATCAATTATTTTTCTTTTTCTGACAGATAACATTTAGAAAAAAGTTTAGGCATTATACATTTTTCGTGGTTTCAAAGTTTTACAATGAGAATGAAAATTATTACATTTATAGTTATAAACTTTTGCTAAAGGCTATACGTCTGTACATACTACTATTTGGAAAACAAAATTTTATTTCAGTTACAAAATAGTTTTTAAAATGGTTTACATAGCTTCGTACAAACATTTATTTAGATTAGGTATATACTTAATTTAAAAACTTTAGGAGCATTTTAGAAAATTAATCAAAATAATTACATTCTTTGGTAAATTGAAATTGTCATGGTGTCTAAAAAATTAAACAGTTTTGACATTGACTTTTCAAAAATGCCCCTAAAACTTTTCCAGTTTAAAAGTGTAGACATAATTTAGTATTTCACTATATTTTGACACTAAACGTGTTCATAACACGCACATGAAAGTAAAGCTTGGCTTAATTGGGCTTAGGCCGGTCATATTACCTAGGATTGTGTGTTCTACGGTCACACCAAGGTAAAAACAAAAAAAAGTACGTAAAAAGAATTTAATCAGGCTGTATATCCGAATTCCCTGTATATAAATAAAAGTAATTATATAAACCTAAGATTATCTGTGGTATAACGTCATTTAGGTACATTCTGTTTTTGAAAAACCAAGCAATTGTATTTTTTATTTTTACCTCGGTGGAAACGGTGAGGGGATTTTTTAAGCGTACAATAATCACATTAATTTGATTTGATAGACATTGATATTAAATAACAGCACAAAACATCTAAGAAGCCTTAACGGTAAAATTACAGTATGTATACATAGAAATTTATTTATAAAGACAATATCAGAATATAGCTACACCGAATAGAACTTTTAAATAAATACGATTTGTTCTCGCTTACATTAGGATTAATAAATTTAAAATTTTTCTTACAATTAACAAATAATTTGATGGATCACTCTATGGTCATAGAAAACGTTCTTATTTTTTATATTATATTTTATTTTTAGAGCAATCCATTAAATATTAAATAACAATAAATCAACTTTGGAAGCGCTAAATACAATATTACGATTAAATCTAACATTATTTTGTGTTGCGTAACATAAGAAGGGTTAATGACCTTGTACTTGAATAAAACGGACGAAATACTTATTAAAAGCACAGACACAAAAACATTCGCCTAATTTTTTTTTCTATGAATATATTATTTAGGTTAGTCTTTGACCATTTGTAATTTTTAGCTTGCTTCGTTTTTATTCTGTACCTAGTGATTTCTTACTTTTCATTAATATTTTTACTTTTTAATGACGTCTTGTCCATAATTTGTTTCTTTTATAGAATAAAAATAATTGTATTTTTTAATATAGGTACAAGTAAATATATATATATTCATGTGAATTTATTTTAAATAGGTACATAGGTAATTAAATAACGAATTACTTTTAATTTTCAATCATTAACGAGTTTTCAGATTAAACTACAAAATTAATGGTCAAGTTTCGGTGACCAGTCACGATTTTATTTATCATTTATTTTTTAAAGATTACCTATGTTTTGTTTGTGCTTTTATCGTAATTCTTAAAAAAAATACCAAAGAGGTATCTATATTTTGTTTACTCGTTTTCAACACACATGAATGAAACTGGACGATAGTTTAATCTCACGTGGATTAGCATAAATCTCACATATGCAGATAAATAATATTGACCAAACGTGACGTAAGCAGATAAGAGGGACTCCCTGCTTTTGATACTTTCCACTCAAGTCTACATGATACTGTGATTCGTAAGACAATCCCGGGATGCCATAAGAGCAATGTCGATTATACGAAACGATTTATAAATCGCATTATAATAAAAATTAGTCATCTACCCTATTGGGCTCACCATAGGTAATTGTTAAATAGATAATTTTATGTTCATTTTTAAAATAACTGATTTGTTTCTGTTTGATATGAAAAAGGCACAAGGGGAAGTATTGTATAGAAAGGGGATATTTTGTTATTAACAATAATTAATAGGTATACAAGATTAGTAGACACCGTGGCCAGCGGATCACCCTACACCAATCTATCAAACTTTTTCATCGTAATTTCCACTTTATGTCAATACTATAAAGTTGAAGATGTAATTGAGTTTGACAGAAAAGGATAGATTAGCCTGCTGGCGACCGTACAATCAGCAATAAATTGCAAAACTGCTCTGGAAGGTTTTATACAGTGTTTGAATATCATACTTACTTTTGAAATTTTGTCGCTGACTTTATCTACGCGAATATAATATTCTTGAGTATAAATATTTATAGTATAATATGTATATTAGAGGTAATTTGAAATAGAATTCCACGCTACATAATGTAAATATTAATATTTGAAAAATATTTGTAAATAGGTCATTCTTTAATACTTTTACGTCACTGTTGCGTAAGGAATAGATTATTCAACGCATTTATTTTCCTTCTCGCTTAAACACGATAAGTGCGAACAGAACATGTGTCATTGTCCAAATTAATATTTTCTGTGATTGCATACATGAGTAGTGAGGGCCTACCGTATTTTGCTTCGCTAGTATGCGTCGCCCGTTCTTCATCCAATAGAGAATTAGCTAATATAAAAAGACCCATTCCTACATTTTCACCATGTAATAGGTAGGCAAAAATACGTTGGCCCCCAAAAAGAAGATTTAAATCATATACCATAGATGTATTTATGGAAAACTGTAACATTTTTCAATGTTTTGCTTAAAGCAAAAATATTTTGTTAATATTTTTCGTTTAATACTCGTCCGTGCCGTCTGAATCCATCTGTACCGATGGATAAATATGACGGCTTTAATGACAATGATTCGTGTCTTTAATTGTATTTTGTCACGTTATTAGTTTCAACTTTTAAATTCAAGCGTATTTTAAATGTGTTACTTTTATTTTGGCATCTCTTTATGCAGGTACTATTTTAATAAGAATTATTTTTATTAAAAACCATTGTTATAACATCGATCAAATCACTTAAAATTCATAAAAAAAAACTTATTTTCGTATTGAATTATTTTGAGCTGACACAACAACAAGACAGATCCAATATAATTGTTTTAAATTTCGAATCTCATAAATAATTTATTTATCTTTTTTTATTCTTTCTTCGATTTAAATTCATTGGGTTCTAGGTAATTTAGACGAAATGGGTAATTTATTCTAATGTATAGCCAATATTTTGTCTACTTTATAAATTTAAAAATATTGTTTTTATATTTTTTTCTCTATTACACTACTTATTCCTACATTCCTGATAGATGCCAATGTCCAATACCGACCGTCCGTGTATTAGACTTTGCAAGACTGCAAAGCAAAAATGATGCGTTTTCTCATATCTCGGAGATGATCTACTACGTGCAATTATTTTGATTAAAAAATATAGGTACGTCTGTTTGCTAATATGCGGAGAATGTTAGTGCATAAAGTTTCCAGCAGTTTACCACAAGTTACAAACAGCGATACAGTGACCCTAGTTTGTCATTAACTTGAATTTCCAGTCTTGCAAGGTCTATATAAGTGAAACCTTTCTAAAGTGATACTTATTTGTTCTCTATTAGAGTCTGAACTTGTAGAACAAGGTCCCTTGCTAGGGATAACACTGCTGACGCGTCGTGTCGTTCAGCCATTTCTGAAACAAAAAAGTATTTTAAATATTTACTGCGAATATCATTATTAGCCCTTCTTCACCCACTACTAGACATTAGCCCTCCATAAGCATACCTACCACTAACACGAAACGCTCTATGCAAACGGTCATATAGCACACAGGTCATACAGGTTATTAATAAAACTAACGTAGTAGACACACTAAATGTAACTGAAAATGTAATGTTCAAGATCATTTTCAAACAGTGCCAGAAAAGAAGGAAACAAATAAAAAACTTTGAACAGAAAACACAATAACTTAAATTTTGCATTACAGCTTTAATGCATAAAATGAATGAATTTTTCTTTTTTATAGGATAAGCCGGTAAATGATCACCCGATGGTAAGCAATCGGCGTCGCCCATGGACACCTGGAACACCAGAGGTGTTATAGGCCTTTTGGGGATTAGGAATTTGAGGATTTTTAGAGGATTGGGGAAGGGGGGTTATTAGGCTTCCGGTAACCTCACTCACACGACGAAATTCAACGCAAGTGTTGTTTCACGTCGAGTTTCTTTGAGGCCGGTATCACTCCTATGGAGCCGGCTCATTCGTGCCGAAGCATGGCTCTCCCACACTTAAAACAGTTTTAACAAACTTGTCTGTTCAAAAGTTAAACAACTAACAATAAAGAAGTACTTACCATTGAAAAACTTGATGATATCAGTGAAGTCCATAGTATTGGCGAGGATGACGTCACGGTAGGTCTCTAACAGCGCGAGCGCTATGAACAGCACCATGTGCTCCGATGCCACGTGACGAGCTGCCCAAATTAATTCCCATGCCGCAAACACCTGAAACGAAAATGAAAGTTAACGAATGTATGATATATGAAAGAATATATAAGTTAAAATAGGTAATAACATGGCACTGTACAGTAGTACAGTAGCACATGATGACGGTCAGGGTGACCACATGAGACCGCAACCCACTATACCAAACGAAAAACACCAGTACCTAAGTAAACCACTTTCTAAGTCTCACTATTAAAAATATAAACTGTTTGATACTTGGTGATACTCCGTATGTGGTTTCAGGATTACCAAACAGACTACAAGATACACAAGAATTGTCAAATTCAATCCTTTAATTTTCAAGGTTTTGTACTTACGTCCTGGTAAAGCAGTTCCCTCTTGAAGTCGAGCAAGAACCAGCGGTAACAGAAGTAGAAGTGCGTGTAGTCGCCGTGCGCGTGCATCAACTCGTACAGCTCGCAATCCAAAATCTGGATAAGAGACCTGGAACAAATATGGTGGAATAGAGAGACAAAGACAACATCTTTGCATATTGGACCCCAAAAATTTTTTTTTTTGTCGTAGGGCGGCAAACGACCAGATGGATTACTTGATGGTAACATGGTAACCAAATGGCGTCGTCTCTGGACACCCGTAACATAACAAGAGGACGTTGTTAGCCTTTTAAGGATCAGGTTCATTAGGCATCAACGATTAGGGACTGAAGAATGAGGAGAAAGGGAGGATTGAGCTTCTGATATGCTGACTCATAATATGTAAGATAAAACATAATTCAATTGTTCATTAATGTCGGTTTTTTGTCAGTCCGTTGTAGCACAAGTTAAATGTTCAGAGGAAAAAACAAAAGAAAATTAAAAATAAATCGGACCTCATATCAGCAAAGTGCGCATCCATGGCCTGTCCAGACGGGAAGTTGTCAGTAGCGCGTCGCATGAGACTGTTGAAGAGAGCATGCGCGTGCGCCTCCTCGCGCATCATGACGAGTAGCGGCGCCGCCAGGTCGCACATACCCTGCATGTAGCCTGTCTCCAGGTGCTCCCATACGTAGCTGGAGGACGGACGGAGATTCGTTAGTAGGATACCATTATGAAAATTATTGTATGATGTAAAAATGATCATATTAAAAATTAAAACCCTTTATATACGAAAAACAAGACTATAATCAGACTTTTTTGTTTCAATGATGGAAAATGCTCATGGAACCTTGTAGGGCCTGAACTGTCGGACAGTATTTAGTAGTTATGCTACTGTATTTTAATTAGCGTCTATGCTTTTATTTGAATTTTCAAATAGAATAAAGTTATTCAAAAAGGTGTTTCTTTCAATAAAATACTTACGTGCACATAATATTCCGTAGTTTATCTAAATTCTCGTCAGTGAAGAATGGGTAATTCCTGTCACATCTCTGAACATCTTTCTCTATGCGATGCAGGTTAAGAGCGAAGGATTCAACCAATTCGTTCTGCAAAATATAAATAGAAGATTTTTACAACTAACAACGATTGTCGATGATGTTGATCATGATTATAATAATGATACAGAACGGAAATTGATGGAAGGATAAGACAAAGCAAACATAACTTTAGTTAAACTACTTTTTCAAACAAAATACTTGTATATGTCCACCAAGATTCGTGTAAAAACAAACTAATATGTAACATGTTAAAATATACGTCAAACTTACAGAATAAACTCCCCCATTAGAACTCGCCGGTGAGACACAATTTGATCGGTTATCTTGTGCGTTCCTATCCGCCGGCTCCAGAGTATCGAAGCTAGCTCCAGCTGACTGCGACTCCTCGCGAACTACTCCGAGGGGACTACGAGCTGGACTTACTTGTGCTAAGACAGAAAAATCATTAACTGGTTTTTAATTAGGCTCAAAAGCTTTATTATGTTTATCGGTATAATTTTAAGAAGAGAAGATTTTTCCCATTTTCTCGCACTAAGGAGCAAGCATAGTCTACTGACTACAATCGTATACAAATAATCTACCTACTGGTAGATTATTTGTATTGCAAAACAGTTGACTCACCAATACTGAAAAACAAACTTACCAGTAGTTCCACCAGAAACAGGAGACCCTCCAGCCGCGAGATCAACTGAAGGATTAGTAATGATAACACTTGTATGTTGCTGATGAGGACTTGGCCCACTTTCATCTATAGACGACCTGAAATCACTTCCAGTTCCATTCACATGAGCACTGTCCACGCTACAAAGAAGCCCTCGACCGTCGCCCTTCTGAACGATCTCTTCAGCCAGCCTCTTGATTTCAGCTATACTTTCCCTCCTCATATCAGGGTTGTCGACAACACTTTTCAAATGGACATCTTCATTCTCATCTAAGTCTTTTAGACTGTCTACATCTACATCCCTATTATCACCATTCTCAGTCTCTCCGTTCTGTTTTGTTTCTTTATCTCTTTCCGAGTCCATTTCAATGTTGTCTACCTCGTCTATGCTGGGTGCTCGAGATAATACGGGCTTGTCCGGTCGTCTTTGTTCGTTCTCACTTGGTTCTGGTGAAACGATTGGTGGGTTGTCTGAGATTACGCTGCAGTCGTCTTCGAATACCTGAAAAATAATTCAAAATAACAAAATGTTTATCTATCGTTTGGTTTATTTAGAATCTCTCTAAAAGTCTGATTATGTTTTCTTGAGATATTATACTCTGATCATTAATATATACGAAGCCTGATCTTCATCCATACCTTTAAAAATCTAACCGTATATTGTACATACCTCGCTGGTATCATTATTGTCAGTAGGCTTCAGTTTGCCGGATGCTTCAGTCAGTCTGGCGATGGACGCGGCCGTGGCCTCACGGTCCCGTTGTCGCACAATAGCCTCCACGCACAACCACTCCGACATCGTCGTCTCATATTGGCGACGACACGCCGCATCTTGTTCAGCTCGTTCCTCTGCCGTAGAACCAAATCTACGAAATATCATCATATCAATTTTTCCACTACGAAGAAGTATTTACACTTTTCATTTTGTTATAATATTACCTTTTAGTGGAGTTCGTATAATATTACATTTTCTTGCAAAATAGACAGAGAGAGAGAGATAAATATAAATCATTGCATGCCTTGTGACACTTGAGAAAAAGAAAAAAAATACTCGAGATCTCGCAACAGTGCTCTAGCGATTCGTTTACTATAGTCAACTGTTCTTGTTTCAATAGCTTAAAATGTCACCGTCTTAATACTTACTCGTAATATCCGAGTAAATAAGGCCACACATGTCGCCGGATGTCATGCTGCACTCCTCCGTAGTACACCAGCCGGTACACTTCATCCTTGTCGTGTATTGCTCCAGACTCATCACTCATTGCTAGCCATCGCTCATCTGTGAGACCACCTTCTGCGTTTTCTGTAACATTTACAACTTTCAATAAATAAAGACATATAATCAAAATGAGACTTAAAGGAATTATAAAATTTCAAATATTTAAGTATCAAACTCAAACTCAAACTCAAAAGCATTTATTTCAATTAAACCATAATTTGGTACTTTTGAAACGTACAAATATGAAATAAATTGTAGTCTGTCAGTCTGTCCGTCAATAAAGCTAGGCACATGTAGAGGGTGCATGGGACCTCGTGCCATGATCAGTTATTGATGATGGTGGGATACAGAAAAATAAACCCAATAGACTAGATCATCATCAATGTCATCATACCTCGAGGAACGATGATTGGATGCACGAGACCACTAAGATGTGTCCTAACTGTAGACAAATGGCGGCAGTAAGCAAGCCAGCCGTAAAATGCTCGAGAAATAATCTGACGACGCATTGTACTGCACACTAACTCGATGGAAGCAGCCTGTAAAATAACAAAAAAATTAAATAGTGAGAATAAAACTTAATGGCACCCAGCTGGGACACCGAGTTCCATGTTGGGCGCCAAAATATCATCTCATCATAACCACGAAAGACTGTGTTTGAAAGAAATTAAAGATCTTTTATGCAGGAGCTTCGTAATAATATATTAGGTTAGTTGTAAAAATTACCTCTAAAGTAATATTAAATTATTTGCTTCAAAATACGAACTGAATCAGTTATTTTGAGAATCAGATATTTGTAACTGTAACTGTACCTGTTCAACTGGTTGATGTGGTATGGGCGTCAATGGAGGATGCCCATTAAGTCCGGCTGATGGTGGGCAGTCAACCGACATGGTTGAGGAGTCAGATGATGTAGTGGACGTTGAAGCTAAAGGACGACGCGGTGTACGAGGGGGTGATTGCACTGCACGTTCTAGCAGCGAATGTCGCATTGCTGAGAAAAAAATTCGTTTAAATATCATTCTGGACATCAATCAACGACGAAGCTGTTGAGAATTCTGAATTAGAAATTAGCAATCTCTCAAGTTCATACTATGTCAGTATATTGCAATGAATCATCTTATTCACCATGTTCATTTGTTTACATAGAAAAACGTAGTGTACCCAAACTACATTCTTACGCAAGTTGTAGATAGAACACACTTTTGTAATATTTCAAGCTTAACTGAAACAATTTAACTCGTCGAGTACCGTATTTATAGACACAATTAAAGAACAATAGGTTGCGGTCACCGGTGACCGCTTGGTGTTTGACAGTTTAAAGGGATATTTATTAAATACTAGCGACCCGCCCCGGCTGCGCACGGGTGCAGTACGCATATATTATACATATAAACCTTCCTTAAGAATCACCCTATCTATTAAAAAAAACCACATCAAAATTCGTTGCGTAGTTTTAAAGATCTAATCATACATAGGGACAGACAGACGGGGGATAGCGACTTTGTTTTATACTATGTAGTGAAAGTACCTTCTCTATCAGCAATAGCATTATTGACAATCCTGAAGACATAGTCTCCAGCTGTCTCCTCCCACTCCGGTTCTTCAGTTTCCCCGCTCTCACATAAACTTGGCAGCGGCCGTCGTCTTGCTTTACCGCGGCCAAACACCTGACATACAAATAAAACAGAAATGTGACATGTATGAAGAATGAAGACATAATGTATAAAATTATGTGTTTTAATCCCTAGAGACCATAAAAGGCAAAAATTAAATTTATAAAGATTTCTTTTTAATTAAAAAAAACGTTGCCCCACACTATGATTATCTCCTGCGTCGTGGGTGCGAGCGAGCGTTTACAAACATACAAGTTCACATATACATGACACCCAGACCCGAAACAACAATTTTTGGATCACACAAAGTGTTGTTCCGTGCGGGAATCGAACCGATACGTTGCACGGCAGCCAGTTGCCCAGCCACCGTACCAACCATGCAGTCAAAGTATGACGCATATGCACTTTTCTTTAGTAATCTGTGTTCTTCAAAAATATCAGAATTAACACTTCTTGTGACTTCTTCTTGGACTTGCAATTACTTGACTAACGAGGTAGAAATGATAAAGATGATGAAAAGGTCAAAAACATTACATTTAATAAAAAAAAAATGGAAGATATAAACATACCTTTCCTGTACCCCTCTGCGACCAGAGAGGTGGGTCTAATTGTCCATGTGGGAGCAATCCGGTTTCTAGGTTGCTCAGAAAAGAGAGCAAATGTCCTCCTAAAACAAAACAAGCCTTGTGAATGTTGAAGTTGTTTATAGCTCCGTATGAAAAAGATTTCACAACTCTTTGTTTGACTATTAAAAAAAAATGATTTTAAGTTATTATCGAAATAAGTACCTACACGTTTTCGGCTCTTAGGTATGTCACGTGCAGCTTAGAAGGTATCTTTGCATCATTCTCAAAATAAACTATTAAATAAAAAGAAAGTAAAAGAAAACAACAAAAAATATACCCTTAATTTAGGCGTCAAAGTATTCGTCCGCATCACTATCACAGGGGAAAGTTCCCAGAAGACTGGCAGCATTGCCACGTTGAATGGCAATGCTTATTTTCTGTCCGAAGAAAAAGCCAGCCCTCTGGTCACGTGTAGTGTCGATTAGCCTACGGGCGATGTCTTTAAACACAGAGTGTGCACTGGGACCCCATGGCCCAAGTGTTTCGACCCCAAACGGCTCAAAACAGTAGTTACCCACTAGATTTGAATATTTACGCCGTTTGAGGGCCTCTGCCGCGGAAGCAGCTGCACCAACGCATGCAGCGGTACTTAAAAGATGTGATGGCGCAAGGGTGTCTACACACGTCGCGTCCCACACCAAAGGCCTACCCATCTTCCAAGGCAGCAACGACATACCATCTCAAAATTGTATTTATAAAAATGTGAAAAATTCAAAATTAATACAAATACACGACTTAATCACTAGAACCATTGGAGAAAGCGATGTTAGTTCCATATTTTCAAAATTGGTTTAGTAAATCCAGATATTACTTCCTGTAGGAATATTGAATAATCAAGTCATAAATCTCTTAATAATTCTGGAAACTTCTCGCTTTAGAGCCTTTTACAGCCATTAACAAAAGGTCCTGTTTCCGATTGATCCAATACCCGAACAATAAATCAGCCTTGACCTTGAAAATCCGCATTACAATTAGCCAAAGTTTGAACTCGCTTCAGCCGACGCTCGCCATTAATTATTATGTTGAAACAAAGCGAACAATCTATTCACAAACTTTTTATTGTACCCAATGCTCTTAAATTATACGCAACTTTTCAATTTCGTAGTAATTCTGATTACTCTGAAAGGTTTTAATTCTTAAATGGGGTCTTAGGTTCATTTATGAGGATAAATCGGCGTTAGGGTAACCCTAAAAGAACTTGCCATGATAATTGTACCATTTTAATGAAGAAATCGATTAAAGAATTAAAATTTCAGAAAAATCATTAGCTTTGTTTAATACAAAAGAGGATGCATAATGTTAAATGACATTTGCAATTGTTTAAATCTGTGAGTTGGTAAACCACATTTTGTGACGAGGGAAAATGAGTGCCTGTGACGCCATTTGCGGTTGCTGTGAAATTGGAGGGAAAATTGTTAAAATGGCACGTATTTTAGACACGTGACTAGTGAAATAATTTCCAATACATATCGCTTTTCGCGACAAATTCTTACATACAAGCCCCCAAATATGAACAAAAAATATGTACCTATTGCTACCTAGCATCTATTAGAAATCTAAACGAATTTGTAGGTTTACTTTCGAATTTCTTCCTTCTTTTTTAATAACTATTGTACACGTCACAATCAAAACTTTACACGAAACGTTTGACACCACAACGATGACGATAAACTATGACTCCATACTGCAAAAATTCGGTGTCGCGGAGAACCTAACGGGTAACCGGGGCTCCGGCTCGACGTGCAGGAGAAGGAACGGGGTGGTTTTTAGTCAGTAAGAGTCTGACACTCCCTCCCGCCTCATCCAGGTGGGAGCAGTCATTCGATGATTTTCCCCGCTTAAAAAAAAAAAAAAAAAAAAAATTCAAAGCTTTCTGTAAGTTACCTTTAGGAAAATGTATGGGCGGTCTCTGCACTCCATCTTGGCCGACCAGTATAAGAGCATCACTGGCCTGGGACCGATGCACGTGGACGTATACCACTTCCCAAACACACACTTGAAGGGACATCGCCCAGTAAACACTGCAAAGTAAAAACATCCTTCAGCAGTTGATTTAGACACCAAACTTCAGTGGGGCATTTTAAGGCTAGATTTCAGTTTTATTTCTAAGATAATCATCATCATGTATTTTTATTCCCCAAACGCTTATTCAGAGATATTATAACTATTTTATTTTATTTTTATTTCAGTCCTAGATATCATTATTATTTAGTTTATAAAAATGTCTTTAAGTCAAATAATTTTGCCAATCGTAAGTCCCTTGTAAGTATAATAGAAACCAGACATAATAAAACTTTTTTTATAATATCGTTTATTTCTCAGTATATGGTACACATAGATCTTAACAATACAGCAGTTTCACATACACAACCGTCTCCGGTGTAGAAATAATTCTAATAGTATTACATTAAATTTCATATTTTACCAAAAACACTGATTCTATATAGTACTATCTAGTTTATTAAATATCTGAAACCACCTACTTTATAATATAAAATGTCATTGATTTTTATAAAATTAAATGTTGATAGATAAAAGTCATAAGTGATTAAGTAGGTAGTTCAGTAGTCACAATGTAAGATGTCCAAGAATTCAATTTTTAGATACAATAGTCATAATAATACAATAATAAAATGTCGAAATACAACACAATTCATAAACAAGTCAAGTAAGTACCTACATACCTATGTAATTTATAAAAGTCCAATTACTTTATTATTTCCATGACTTATCCTCTAAGTATTCTCTAACACTGTAATATTGTTTTTCAACAAGGCGTTTAAACAATAACTTTTTGAATTTTAGGACAGGCAAATCTTGAAATTTGTTTGGTAAATTGTTATAAATGATAATAGCCATGCAGTAAACATTTCTCTTAAATAACATTAATTTTATTTGGGGTAATTTCAATCTATCTTTGTGTCTTATTCTACTATTTGGTTTTAAACAGTTTTCTTCAAATAAACTATAATTCCTTTTCACAAACATGCATGTTTCAAAAATATAAAGACACGGTAAAGATAAAATATTAAGATTTTGAAGCAATGGCTTACAACTTTCTAAAAAGTGGGCTCCACACATTGCTCGGATACATTTTTTTTGTGCTTTAAATAACGTCTCGACCTCGACCGAGTTTCCCCAAATTATGATTCCGTATCTGTACCGATGCCACATAGGCATTATAAGCAACTATAGCAGTCCTTAGGTTTATTGTTTGTCTCATTCGTCTCAAGACATACACAAATCGATCCAGTTTTTTTCGTGTTTTATCTATGTGAGGTTTCCAGGTGCAATGTTTGTCTACAGTTATACCTAAAAATACACATTCATTGACCGTGTTTATGGTGAAATTATTAAATTGAATGTTGAGTAAATGATGTGTTTGTGTTAGGTGCTTGGAATTTTATTACATTCGTTTTTGTCATGTTTATTTTTAAGTTGTTTTCTTCTAGCCATTTAGTCGCCTTATCCAGTGCTTTAACAATATGTTTCTCTAAGTCATCATTATCTTTGCTTTTAATTATCAGTGTTGTGTCGTCAGCAAATAATACGCATTCTTCATTGATCGCTTGGGCAGGTCGTTAATGTACAACAAAAATAACAGAGGGGATAAAATGCCTCCTTGGGGTGTGCCAATGATTTTCTTTTTGTACCTTGATTTGTATGTGTTTTGTACATTTTCATATGTTCTTGTTATTTCCACGCATTGCTGTCGATCAGCAAGAAAGCTTTTGATCCATTCATTGGCCTTCCCGCGGATTCCATAGTGCGAAAGTTTGGAGAGTAGCCTCTTATGACAGACAAAGTCAAAAGCTTTCGTCATGTCTAGAAAGATACAGGCTATTTTAGATTTTTGATTTAGACTTTCTGATATTTGTTTGATCAGTGAGAAACATGCTGAAGTCGTCGAGCTCCCCTTTCTAAACCCAAATTGTTCCTTTGTTAGAACATTACATGACGTTAAAAAGTTATCTAGTTTATTATATACAATTTTTTCTAATATTTTTGATAATATAGGGATTAACGTGATTGGCCTATAGTTGCTCATATCCTGCTTTGAGCCTTTTTTGTATAAAGGTTTCACAACAGAAAATTTTAGACGGTCTGGAAAAATACCTTCACTTAAGGAAAGATTAATTATGTAGCTTAAGGGCGAGACTAAGCTCACCGAACAAATTTTTAACACTTTAGTATGTAATTCGTCATAACCTGTTGCATTTGTATTTCGTAAACCATGTATTGTTTTATACACATCCCTTGCGTCTATTGGTGTTAGGAAAATACTTTTCTGATTTTGAGGAATCGTGTAGCTGGTATTCTGATTGTTTTGCTGTTGTTTTTGGCTTGAGTTGGTTAGTGATATGTAGTAGTCATTAAATTGGTCACAAATATTTTTAGGATTGTCAACAATGTCAGTATTGGTTATTATTGATTCAATGTCAGAGTAATTTTGCGTATTGTTAATGTCAGCCTTTATTAAGTCCCATGCTGCTTTACTTGCATTTTTGGCTTTGTTGATGTACTGTAAACTTTTAATTTGTTGTGCTTTATTTATGCATCTTTTCAATATCCTGGTGTAGTCATCAAATTTCTGTTTGTTTCGTTTTTTATTGTCTTTACAAAGCCTATATTTTAGGTATAATGTTCGTTTTTTAATACAGCACCGTTTTAAGTTTTTAGTTAAACCTCGGTTTTTTACTTGTTTATTACAGATTTTAATTTTAATAACAGGAAAGCATAACTTATAGAAGAGTGTTATTATATCGTGGAAACAATTGAACGCTTCGTTTGTTGATTGGCATTCGTATATCTCAGAGAATGATAAGCTTGATAAACATTTTTTAAATTTTGCTACATTTTTTTCACTAAGGTCCCTTACAGTTTTAAACCAGAAACTGTAATTGTCTTTAGGTTTCTCGTTTGTCTCCACGTTAATTGTTAGCGATTGAGCTGTTTCGTGATCGGAGAGTGCCAAATAATGCAGTCGAGATTTAGCGTTGTGTATATTGCTAACAATTAAGTCCAAACAAGACATGTTCCT